TTCCAGTTGCGAGTTGAAGAGAATGTTTGGGTGTGGCGCTCAAGGCTTGGAGGGTTTCTTTTTATCTCCAAAAGTGGGCGGATGTAGTTGGAAGTGGTTTAAATAGCTTTGGTTTGAGCGGCTACCTCTTCTCTCTTTCTCCCCGAAGGCCAGGTACAGTGAAACCCTAGTTTCAGGACTTTTAAGTGCATAACTGACCTTAGTTAGGTCTATAAAGGTTGAAAACATTGTTTTTTGATTTTCATTTGATTGATGGAGCAATCTAGAAGTGAGATGGAGCAGATCCTGGTGTCGGGAGTTGGTCCTGTAGATTCCATTCTGACAGGAGTGACTACAATTAAACTTGACGAAACAAATTACCTTGCTTGGGCACAATCTATTAAGATCCATGTCTGTAGTAGAGGTAAACTAGGATTTCTCACGGGTAGTAAGGTGATGTCGGAAGAGACTGATCCTACATATGAGAAATGGATGCAAGACAACTACACAGTCATTGGGTGGTTGGTTAATGCTATGCAGCCCCACATAAGTCAACACTATCTTTGGATGACTTCAGCCAAGGAGATTTGGGATAGTGTTACAAAAACATACTCTCATAAATTAAATGTTGCAAGGGCCTACAAACTGAAGAATGATGTGAAAAATTTAAAACAGGGGGAGAAGAGTGTGGTTGTCTACTATTCGATGTTGAAGTCACTATGGCAGGAGATAGATGTTATGGAAGTAGTTGTATGGGAAAGCACCAATGATGCAGAAACTTTTAAGAAATTTGTGGAAAGGAACTAAGTGTTTGAATTCCTTACAGGACTCAATATTGAATTTGATATTACAAGGCAGAATATTCTGGCCATGGATGAAGTTTCACTTGCTCAGGCATACTCTATGGTGAGTAGTGAAGAGAGTAGGTGACAGGTACAGCTACAGACTCCACCACCCCTAGAACATTTTGCACATGTTAGAATAAAACCAAAGGGGGTAAATGAAAAAAAGGAGGTGATATGTGAATATTGCAAGAAGCCGAAACATACGAAGGATTCTTGTTGGAAACTTCATCCAGGTCTTCTTCCAGAGAGGTTTCGGAACAACTTTAAGAAGGGTGGTCAGTCTATCCCTGCCAGAACAGAGCTGGTAAGAGGGAAAAATGGTGGAGCTATGGGTCATGTGCTCTCTAAAGTAGAAACATAAATTGCGGTGGCATGTGAGCTACCTGTGTGAGCAAAGGAAGTAGAATGAACTCCACCAGAACCACTTGTACCTTGCTGTCCGCCTATTGCTGAACTAGAACTGATTGTATCCCGCTGGTTAAGAAACTGCCCATACCTCTCAAGTTCGGTCCTTACTGTAGCAACTGCAACAGACTCCAGAGCAGTTGTAGTAGGAGGGGTCGGAGTGTCACCAGTGACTGCCATGTGAGCATTTCCCTTCTTATTTTTGAGTCTATTCGATACAAGATGTGGTTGAAGCTTCCAGCAAGTATCTCTTGTGTGTTTAGGCTTCTTACAGTAGTCACAGATCAAATCTTTTCTGTCTTCCTTCTTGATTTCACTACCACCCCGGTCTCCACCTTGTTTAGGTCTCACAGTGCTAACCATGGTTAACTGATCAAACCTAAAATTTTTCATCGTCACATTTCTCTTGCTCTCCTCCCCTGACACAAAGGCATATGCCTGGGAGAGGGTAACACTGTCCCTGGAAAGAATGTGCTATCTTGCAATATCACACTCGGGATTAAGGCCAACAAGAAATTCAAACACCCTATACTTCTCTAGGTGTTTCTGGTAGGCAACAACATCCTTAGTGGTTACCCAAGCAAATGTCTCTAAATGGTAAATCTCCTGCCACGGCGTTTTAAGGGCTAAAAAGTAAACTGCAATAGGTCTATCTCCTTGCCTTGTAGCAATAATCCGATTTCTCAATTGATAAGTCGTAGCAACATTCTCCCTCTATGAATAGGTTTCTGCAACCCCATCCCATATTTCCTTAGCTGTATTTGCCCATTAAAATTTTTTACTTATATGGGGCAACATGGAATTACACAACCAAGTCATCACCATATAGTTCTCCTATACCCACCGGGAGCTGTTAGTTTCGGGTTTCACTTCTTCACTAGTGATATACCCTAACTTCCCACGAGCACCAATGGCCATCTTTGTAGATTGTGGCCATTCTAAGTAATTCGAACCATCCAACTTAACTGTAGTAATGGTCCCAACCCCGAAAAGGTCTCTAGCACCTCCTCTCGCTAGTCCCATTTCACTCCCGGGCTTGTTTTCAACTCCGTAACCATTCATACTTCTCAAAAGGTGCAAAGAAAATTACTGTAATATGCAAGAAGATCAAATGGAACACTTTTGGAACCAACGACACCTTTCTGGTGCCCTAGATGGTCCTCCCACAAAAGAATCCTTTTCTACGGGCCCTTAGTAGGGCGGCTACTAAAGTAGCTGAACAGTCACAACTTAAAAAACAAAAGCTAATGGGCCTAAAGCCCAACAACTTCCTAACTTAACAACTTAAAATAAGAATAAAACAACTGGGCCCAATAACTAGAAATCAGCCCAACTCAACACCTTCCAATCCTATTACCCAAAGGTGGTATCAGAGACATGCAAGTTGTTTCCACGCCTTCAGATGAGCCTCTTGCTCCTCCCATCACTACTGAGGTAATAGGTCATCCCTCTTCTACCACTTCGGATACCTTCCTTGACCTTGATCTCCCTATTGCCCTTCGCAAAGGCAAATGGAAATGTACAGCTCATTGCATTTACAAACACTTGTCCTACAACCTTCTTTCCCCTTCCTACTATTCTTTCATTGCCTCTGTTTCCACACATGTGACTCCTAGATCTGTCCCAGAAACCTTGTCCAAACCAGAATGGAGGGGTGCTATGATGACTGAACTAGATGCTTTGCATAAGAACAATACCTAGGAAATTGTGGATTTGCTTGAGGGAAAGGAACCGGTTGGCTATAAGTGGGTGTTCACTATTAAGTATCACTCAAATGGTACTATTGAGAGATATAAGGCCCGTTTGGTTGCCAGATCTAAGGATGGTATCTTCATTTCTCAACAGAAGTATGTCCTTGATCTCCTTGTAGAGACTGGCAAACTGGGTGTTCGACCTGCTTCTACTCCTATTAACCTAAATCATAAGTTGTTAGCTACTGATGGTGAACTGTTGACTAATAAGGGAGTGCTCCAGAGACTGATTGGGAAGTTATTATACCTTTGCATGACTCAACTAGCTATTTCCTATGCAGTTAGTGTAATTAGCCAATTCATGCATTCTTCTAGAGATACACATTTATCAGCTGTTGAGAGGGTTTTGTACTATCTAAAAGGGACTCTAGGGAAAGGTATCTTGTTTGCTAAGCATGGACACATGAAGCTGAAAGCATACACTGATATTGTCTGGGCCAGATGTATTAATGATAAGAGGTCCCCTTTAGGTTATTGTGCTATGGTAGCAGGGAACATTGTATCATGGAGGAGTAAGAAGCAATCTGTAGTGGCTAAATCCTCAGCTGAAGCGGAGTACAAGGCAATGGCACATGGAGTTTCTAAACTTTTGTGATTGAGATCACTTTTAGAAGAACTGGGTATAGACTATGAGAAGCCAATGAGGTTATATTGTGACAACCAAGCTGCTATCAACATTGCACATAATCCTATTCAACATGACAGAACTAATCACATTGAAGTTGACAGGCATTTTATACGAGAAAAAGGGCCTCATGAGAAGTCTGTCTACCATTTGTTGCTTCTGAAGAACAATTGGTTGATGTTTTGACAAAAGGTGTTCCTAAAGGAAAGCTGGTTCACTATATAAGCAACCTGGGCATGATTGATATCTATGCTCAGCTTGAGGGGGAGTGTAGAGAGACTGGGCTGAATGGGCCCTAGTCCATTAGTGTCTTTCTTATTAGTTCTTTCTTGTTATGTTTTCTTATTGGGCCTTTAGGTCTTGTTTATGTTTTTTTAAGTATATTGTTGATGTGGGCGCCTACTTAAAGGCAATCTTGTAAATTATGTAACTTAAGTTTAATAAAAGATTAGTGTGGGGAAAGAGGAGATTATTGAACTCCTCCTTTCTTTCTCCTTTCTTCTCCATTCTTCCTCCTTGCTGTCTTCCTCTTCTTCTCTACTTCTTTTGCTTTAATCTTAATTTTTTCTGCTAATTGTATTGGTCTGAATCCCATCTCACCTATTCCATACTGAAATTACATTTTCCTCTGGGGGATTTTTCTTCTTTGCTTTTTGAGTCTTACCCTGTGAGATTCCTCTTGGTTTCATCTGTATGATTCTTGATCACTAATGAGTTTCTTGGCTATTAGTCACCAAAAACAAACATGGAGATGCCTTTAATGATGTTCAAGTGAATAGGACTGGAGTTGTCATTTACAAATCTGGACTTTTCAATCAAAGAACTGCATCCTTGATGGATCATAGCCCAAGAATTATATCAATCACTGTAAAGAAAACAAAAGCAAAAAGGAAAAAACTCTAACAGCTGCAAAAGACAAAAATCACCCTCAAGTATATAATGTAAGCTAGACAACTAGGAAGCTGAACTGAAATCCATACAAGAAGTGGCCAGCCAATGCAACATTCATGAATTCATACATAAACATTACTTTGCAATATGTCAGGGATATAGTACTTCTACATCCTACATAAAGAAAATTTCCCAGATATAGTAATAATTTTATTACTTCTTCATAGATTCTTGACTTTATATGGATAGTGGTTCTTATGTTCTTAACTTCTTATTATCCAAACCCCACTGATTATGAGAATATAGCTCCTATCAATTTTAATGACCATTTATACTGTTAATTTGAGTAAAAAATAATTGTCAAGGAGAAAAATGCAGTCCAATCTTCCATTGTCTTCAAAATTTCCAAAACAAACATTTCCTTATATGGATAAAACTTATATGATTAAGCTACAGAAAATAATAAAAGCTTCATGAGTAAGTCAGTCTAAAATAATTGATCACCTGATATTTCAGGGTCTTTGCGAAATTCTTCAAGTTCATTTTTGAGTTCTCCTTCACTCAGAATGAGCCTCTCTGCAGCCTAACAAAATAATAGATATTATATACATATTCATATAATAACAATCAAACAAGAGTGACTATCATATCATAAGCATGATGTGGAAGCAAAAACATTTTCAAGATATAAAGAACAGCAGATTCAGTAGTAAAAAGGCAATGTTTAAAAGAAGAGGAGAATAGTGGAAACTAAGAAAATGTCCTCATGAGATTTCTGCAAGGTGGCGTTTGAAGATCCTTTTATTATTGTTATCAGTGTTGTGATACAGGAGAGAAGAAGAGAGGAAGAAAGTGAAGCGATGGAAGATCCATCATATGGATGGTCGAACCTTGCAAGAAGGTAGGGCGAAATTTCAAAAAAATTTATTTCTCTCCCATCCGGGATTCGTATTCCCTAATTTAGAAAACTGCATTTTCAAGGTTCATTCATGAAACAAAACCAAACCAGGTCTGAAACCAAGAGGGAGAGGGAAATACCTGATACGGAATTAAAAGAAACTCCCAACGTAGGTGTTCACGCCCAAAGAGGATACCAAATCCACCTCCACTGAAGATGACACAGCGTATATTGAGGCAGGATCAACAAGAATGGTTCTTCAGTAAGAACCTGGAATTCTTCACCAAGATTCGAGCAAGGTGGTGTGAGCACGACTTTTGATTATTTCTTCAACAAGAAACAATATCAAGACACTTCTTGATCACTCCAGTAGGTGAAGATTGAACTGGGATGGCGCCAAGAACTGAGGGAGAGAAAAGACTGCAGAGAGAATTTTTTACTTTATGTGGAATTCGCCCCCTCTTTATAATCCTCTCAGGATATTTGAAATGGGTTTTAGACCCATTAAGTCATATTGCTCACTTAACCCATTATATGTTGGCTAGTTTGGTTCTCTTTGAAGGGATGGGAGATCCATCATATGGATGGCCGAACCCTGCAAGAAGGTTGGGCGAAATTTCAAAAATTTCTTTACTCCCATCCGGGAATCCTATTCCCAATTTAGAAAACTGCATTTTCAAGGTTCATTCTTGTAACCAAACCGGACCAAATCTGAAACCAAGATTAGGGAGGGATATACCTGATACAAAATCCATGCAAAAAGCTCCTCCCAATGCAGGTGTTCACGCCCAAAGAATGTACCAAATCCTCCCTCCACTGAAGATGGCATAGCTTAGGATGAGGCAAGATCAACAAGTAGTTCTTCACCAAGATCTTGTGATTCAACAAGAATCGAATGGGATAGTGAGCACAGCTTCAGAATTGTTTCTTCTGGCAAGAAACAATATCAAGATCAAATCTTGATCAGTTCCAAGAATTGGAGATCGAACAGGGTAGGGTGGCAAAACCAGGGAGAAAAAGATTTGAAGGCAAAAATTAGTTAAACTGAGTTGTCTTCTGTAATGTCTGTGTGTATCACATCACACATCCATATATCACATGCATGAAATAAATTCATCCAATCAATTAAAATATCTGTAAAATACTTAATTAATTAGATTAAATTAGTATCAGCCCAACAGAGCCCATAATGTTATAGGTACATGGGCTGTACTGCAAAAAGCAGTTCGGCCCATGTAGCTAATTTAGGGCTGATTCAGTCATTATCATATTAAAATTAGGTTTTATAGAGGTGGGCCAAATTAAACCTTGAAGTGGGCCATCAACCCTCTGACCTAAATCGAATTAGGGTTAGAAAAAACCAACCCATCGAACCAATCAATTCGATCCAACCAGTTTGGACCAAATCTAGTGTAAATTGGCCCAAGTTTTGGTATCCAATTCAAGATTTAATTCAAGAACAATGATCTGAAAATAAATTAATTCAAGATAATCAAATTATCAAGAAATTAAAATCAGAGGATTGCACTGTGATTTTCTTGGATATCCTACAAACCTACAAAGAACAGTTAATCGCAGATTACAAAATCGATATCTGCAAAATCGCAGATCGTAGAACGTGTTTATGCGAAAATTTCTTCTCCTCTGATGTGCACTCCAGCAATCTCCAGATGGAAATAAAATAGAAAAACCTAATTTTTCTATTATTACATCGCATCAAATTCCTATACAAATTGTCTAAAAATAAAAAATTATTTACAGACCATAATTGAATAGAAGAGAAATCGCAGGGTATGCCAATCTTGGCACAATAAAGATTCGATCTCCATCACATGTGCAGCCCAAAAATTCAAGAAAAATTCACAGAACTATTCTATAAATTTAAAAGAATAATAAAGATTTACTTTCTAGTTCATCTGCCCATAATCTGGGAACCAATTCCCAGAAAAAATGCTAATTGCGCAAATCGGGTAGAACGCTTTCTGCCCTTTTGCGCAGATTCAGATCTATCCTAATTTGGTTCAAGACTTGAACCTGGCTCTGATACCACTGAAGGGATGGGAGATCCATCATATGGACAGCCGAATCCTGCAGGAAGGTTGGGCGAAATTTCAAAATTTTCTTTACTCCCATTCGGGAATCCTATTCCCAATTTAGAAAACTGCATTTTCAAGGTTTGTTCTTGTAACCAAACCGGACCAAATCTGGAACCAAATTAAGGGAGGGATATACCTGATACGGAATCCACGCAAGACAGCTCCTCCCAACGTAGGTGTTCACGCCCAAAGAGAGTACCAAATCCTCCCTCCACTGAAGATGACACAACTTAGGATGAGGCAGGATCAGTAGGTAGTTCTTCACCAAGAACTAGTGATTCTTCAGCAAGAATCGAGTGGGATAGTGAGCACAACTTCTAGATTGTTTCTTCTAGCAAGAAACAATATCAAGATCGAATATTGATCCAATCCAAGAGCTGGAGATCGAACAGGGTAGGGCGGCAAGAGTAGGAAGAGAAAGAGCAGAAGGCAAGAGCAGTCTAACTGTGTTGTATTCTCTCTGTATTCAATGAATTTGTCTTTGGAGGTTCACCCTGCTCTCTTATTTATAGCCTTAAAGAGACAATTTATTAATCCCATTGGGAGTTTCCTAATCCAAATCTTTTATTTGGATTTGAACTCTTAAAGTGATAAGGATAATCCCTTATCTTATCTGCAGATAAAGACCATCCTTCCTAATCAAATTAGGAGTTCCTTTGATCCAAATCTTTATTTGGATCTAGACTCTTTAAGTGGATAAGGATAATCCCTTATCTTATCTACTGATCCAAATCCCAAATCTGCCCCTATTTAATTAATCTAATTAACCCAGTTCGAAATAGGCTTTTAGACCCATTAAGCTTTCAGGCTCACTTCCTCTTTAGTGTTGGCTAGCTTGGCTCTCTTTGTATGGCGTGGGACCCTATCATTGATCTACACATCAGCCACATGGGTTCAGCCTAGCCTCTGTTACAAGGCCTGGCCGAATTCACTGATGAATACAGTGAACCCCTGAGTCCATCACTATGGGCTCTTAATGGGCCCAACATTTACACTAAATRGTCATTGAGTCCAACCATCTTATGAAAACCCAAGGACAGTTGGAGTTCTATTCATATGATCAGAAGCTCCAAAATCTATAATCCAACGGGAAGATGTGGATGGTAGACAAGTCGTACTTGTGTGTGCAAGGGTAGCTGTGTTCTATTGAGATGTACCCTGAATGAACCGCTCATACTCATCCCGTGAAACACTCACCATTTACAATTGCATGATTCGCCCAGGTTGAAAGTGGGCTACGGAGATCGCAGCAAAAGTTGATAGTATGTCCCTCCATACCACAATGAGTACACCTTCTCTGAATATCATCTATAGATGTAGTGGAGATTTGATCAGTGACTTGAGATTCTTGTCTTGAGCTACCACCATTTACAATTGCATGATTCGCCTAGGTTGAAGGTGGGCTACGGAGATCGCAGCAAAAGTTGATAGTATGTCCCTCCATACCACAATGAGTACACCTTCTCTGAATATTACCACGTCCCCTACCACGGGCTCCCCCTAAGTCTTCGTCCTCCAACACAACCACCGCCACGATTATACATTCCACTACCACCACTACCACGACCATGCTGACCTCCTCTAGCACCACGACCTCCCCCTCTCGTAACTGCAAATGCAGACCTATCTGACATAGTGGAAGTCTCTGTGGGTCCAACTAAAATCCTTCGAAGACGAGCAAACACTTCCCCAAGAGAGGGAAGAGTAGATCCACCTAATATCTGTGCCCTTACAGGTTCATACTCAGATTTCAGCCCTACTAAAAATCTGGTCATATCCAACTGCTCTCTCTGTTGTTACTGAAGTTTGACATCAGGTGTAAGAGGATGATAAACATTTAACTCATTTCGTAAATTTCTCATACTGGCATAATAGTCCTCAAAACTCTAATTCCCTTGTTGCAGATTAAAGTACTCTTGGTACAGTTGGTAAACCCTAGTAGTGTTATCCTGTCCAAAATATAGTTTCCTTGCATGATCCCAGACTTCCTTGCCTGTATCTAAAAACATGAAGTTCACACTAATTTTGGACTCCATGCTGTTCCATAGCCAAGTCATAATTTAAGCATCCTCCTGCTCCCACTCATCATATCCCGGAGAATCAATTGGGGGTTTATCTTCCCTCACATGTTTCACTTTCTTTTTGGCTTTCAGGAAAACTTTAACAGACTTAGCCCAAGGGACATAACTCTCACCATTCAGTTTTATAGAGGTCACCTGCACATTCAAATAATCAGAAGGCGCCATCACACTTGATTTGTATTCACTGTTGTCTCCCATAACTGCACAAAAAAACAGTGGGAAGTTGTACCACTAAATTATTACTCTACTGCCCTAATAAATCACCACACTCCACACGAATGACTAAACACCACTAGGGTTCCTAGTACCAGGTTTCAGCAGCAACACTCACAACTATTCACCACTGTTTCAGCAACAATATTCACAACTATGTTAGACAGTGTATGCCCTTAGCTCCAATTAGAATGATGTACCT